TCTGATCATATAAGTATACACTTTAATGGGTCTATCTCTTTTTATTCTGGTACTTACAAACATCGGACCAAAGTTATAATACCATTTCGTGCTCATGAAAAGTATAATTAACAAATTTATTTTAGGTGCAGAATTATACATAACGAAGCTTTTCAGGAAATCTTCGCGAGGATCACAAATTTAAGTGTGGCCGAAGGAACAAATGGGTACTGTCTTAACCCTGCAGAAAAAAATTATCAATTGATAAAAAATAACCTACTTGTGGTTAGCTTTTTTTGCGGGATTTCTATAAAATATATAACTTGTAGTTAGCTACAAAAAGCTGACTTGAAACAAGTGGACAAGTAATGCAGGAGTAAAACTCGAGATTGTTTTCTTTAAACGCGTTTCTATTTAAATATCCTGCACTTCGCAAATACTTTTTCGAATTGAGGACAAATAAAAGGAAGATCGAAGTTTTATATTATTATTTTGAAGTTATGTCTGACGGAGTGGAATATGGGACCACCTGCAGCAGAATATGAAAACAAATATCAAATGTAATAAGCTAAATAAAGTAAATAAAAATATTAATAATAATATTGTTTTTCCTATTGATATTTTATGTCCAAAAGTAGTTAATTACAACTTAGTTACATTGACTAAATCTAATGCAGAGGTAACCACCCTTGACTATTTCGCGGCCATCGCCATAAAAATATAGTTAGCTTTCGTCAAAGAAAATAAACAGATAATAAGTGACTTTTAGCTCCTTCCTAAGTAACCTAAAGTTAGCTTATAGTTGGATTCATTTCCTGCAGGGAAGGCACAAATGTCATATATGTGAGAATGTATTAGTTATGTTACCCTAAAATGAGAATGTGTTGGTGGTAATGCACGGAGAAAAATTTCTGTGTTGTATTACTTATTATAAAAATGTCTGTATGTTTTTTAGCATTTTTTCATTGGGCGACATTTTTTAGAGCTAAAAAACGTAGAAATATAAAACATAGAAAGAATGTTAACGGCCCTAAGTAAGAAAAAAGTTGGTAAAATTTGTTATGTATTTAAATTTTTTTTTGGGATGATTTAAATGTGGATTTTCGGGCAAAAAAGCTAACGTTCCTCGAGCACTCTGAATATTAAGAGAAAATTTCGTTAATTTCAAGTAGAAATTAAATAAAAATATATATATTTTTTTTACTTAAGTAAATTTTGACAATTAAGAACAATTTAAAATTACGATGAAAAGATAAATAACAAAACATATTATATGTTTTAATTGAGGACTAGTCTGGTGTTTAAAAAAAATTACATAGTTCACATAATTACATAATTTATTTATTTTCATGAAATCCTGAATTACAAAAGCTTTGAGAAATTCAACAAAACTTTAAAATTACATTTAAAATAAATAAAAGATTATAGACAATAACAATAAATGTTGTGTGTCTGCATAGCAATTAGACCTAAACAATATATATTTTTTCAAAGAAGATTTGTTGTTATTGTCTATAATCTTTTATTTATTTCAATTTTAATTTTAAATTTTGTTTGAATTTCTCAAAGCTTCTGTAATTCAGGACCTGAAGAAAATAAATAAATAAAAGTTCTACTAATTACATAGTTTACTAATTGTACCTACTTTATTCAACAATAAGGCACGGTGCACATTAGTGCGATACGATATGCGATACGATATGCGATACGATACGCGATACGATACGCGATACGATACGCGATACCATTTTGTGATAGCTACACAAACATGTGTGCCCTTATAAGCTTGTAAATGAGTTGCTTCTCAACCGAGTTTAGACCTTTCGAATGATGGGTCTATGTTTATATCTATAAACTTTTAAAAAATTTAAGAGAAAAGTATGTTTAATATCGAGTAAAACTGATGTTTATTTTTACAAAGTCGGCTAAAAATTAAATGAGATATTCAAATTTTCATGACAAATTATTTCAGAATATTGCATTCACTACAAGGAGAAATCGGTGAAAGCTGAATTAAAAAAAAAAAAGTAAAGCAAAAATTTTTGAGTTATATGGGCAAATCTAAAAAACAGGTAGATAACCTTGGTGTTATTTAGCTTTATTTTCACTGTTGGAAACTATATCAAGCTGGTTGCTTTTGAATGTAATTCATTGACGTATACTTGAAGCCTCAAAAATGTCAAATGTGGATCAATTTGCTGCATAACTTTTGAATTATACGTGTTTAAATTAAAAAAAAATAGTGAAACCAAGTGAATTTTTTATGTAATTTTTAAGAGGGGCAAAATTAATTATGTCATAACTTGTGAAGCACACCATATTCTGACTTCAAATTTAATGGGCATTTAGCACTTATGTGTATAATTTATATGTAGTAAATAAGAAAGAAAAGTATGCATTAAAAAATAACGAAATGGCAAGTAACTCAAAGTCTGTAACTTCACATTTCACAATTTTCTAAATTTTCGGTTCATCGCTTATAGTTTTTGAAGCATTTAATTTTAAGAACTTTTTAAGTATGTATTGTATGCTACAAACAATTGCGAATAATTTGATACCTGAGCAAGAGCTGTGCTTTCAGTATCAACCAACTTTTAAAGATAAAATATTCTGCAATCTTGAGTGTAATTTTTATTCCAAAAATATCTTAATTGAAGGCACATTTGGAAAATAAGTCGAAACGATCTAAACATTTGTATAACTACTAGTCCTTATAATATTACTTATAATATACCTGTAAAATGCTTCAAAAAATGTGTCTCTAGAAATGTGTAAAAACCCTGATTTACTACTTTTAATGATGCTCCTTCTTTTAGTCAGATAGTTGGTCTTACTTAATTGGAGCCTTTTAAATTCAATGGCGTCCCCAGTTTTGTCCGATTGTCTCCACTTTTGGAGATAGCGGTACTTGAAACTTTGCTTAAATTTTTACTATTTTATAAAAAAAAACCTCCCTCAGTTTTGATGATATTTTACTAAAATTTTGCACACGGTTGTATTTTAATATTTCCTTCACTATCTCACTTTAACATATAGCAAGCATACAATTTATTATTCAGATATGAAGTTAGAGTTATAGCGCAAAAACACATATCTGAGTAATCAGTTGTATTGGAGCTATACCTTGAAGTGTACTGATTTCGATAATTTTAAGGAATAATTAAGGTAATATGAAAAAACCGTTATGTGCAAAATTTTAGTAAAATAACTTCAAAACTGAGGGAGTTATTTATAAAATAGTTAAAATCTAATCAAATTTTCAAATACCGTTATCTCGAAAACCGGAGCCAATCTGGTAAAACGGGGGATGCCATTGAATTTTAGAACGTCCCAGTTAAGTGAGTTCAACTTTAAAAATCTTTGCTCAAAATTTACAAGTCGAACAACGTAATTTGAACCCAGCTTATTCTTTTGTTTTCTATTTCATGTTTATTCCGCGTCTAACTTTTGAAGCACTTGATGAAAATGAATTACACTTATATTAATCGATTTATTAAGAGAATACGAGTAAAATGATATATAAAACATAGGCGTGCTCACAAATTTAAAAATTAAATTTTTTTTGAGAGTGTACCTATTTTTTAGATTTGCCCATATAGCCAAAAATATTATTTTTCTCATGAAAGATTGAATAACTTAGTCAGATAACATAGTCACTATATATCAAATGTTAATATTGCATCAATGCAGCAGTAGTATAGTTGCTTTACAAAATAGTGGGTGAAAACTTTGCCAAATTTGAAAAACGACGACAAAATTAACACAGAAAATACACACAGATCTCTTAAGTTTTCCAAAAAGTTTATATCATTCGAAATGTCTAAACTGGGTTTATAGTCAACTGGGTTACAAGCTTATAAGTGCGGAAACCCAGTTTTTTAATAGTAAATCAAGATAGTGTGGGTGTTTGACAAAATGTTCGTATGTCGATTCTTACTTCACTCGGCAAAACCTACCTGAAAAATAACATGACTTACCAGGTATTTTTACTTCATTATTTTTTGTAGCATTGGGTTATAGACTAGTTTTGAGTAGCTTTCCACTGCCGCTGCATGGAGCGCGTTGTTGGTCGAGATCTACACGTCGTACGCGAACATATAATTAATACGTTTATTGGAAATTTCGTCCTCTACAACTTTGCCATTTAAATGGGCCACTTATTTCAAATACATAGAAATTGCTCAAAATTCGAAAACACCGCGCCACTTGCANTTAATACGTTTATTGGAAATTTCGTCCTCTACAACTTTGCCATTTAAATGTGCCCCTTATTTCATATACATAGAAATTGCTCAAGATTCGAAAACACCGCGCCACTTGCATAATTTTGGGCATATTTTTGCATATTATTAGCAATAAATAAGTGTTTAAAAACACTTCCATGATAGGCACATGGAAATTGTAGGGAANAATACATAGAAATTGCTCAAAATTCGAAAACACCGCGCCACTTGCATAATTTTGGGCATTTTTTGCATATTATTAGCAATAAATAATTGTTTAAAAAAAATTATAGGCACATGAAAATTGTAGGGAATCGAGTTCTCTATAAATTTGTTCTCCACCTTTTTTCGCGAGAAATGCAAAATTCGCGCGCAAATCGTAAAAAACACAAATTCCAAGATGACGGACATTTCCCATATCGCAATTGGGGGAAAAATTTTATTTTCGTGTTCGCATAAACAGGAGACCCCAAACTGCGTTAAAAAATTTCTTCCCGGAATTTCTTCGTTGAAAAAATCTAAAGTGATTGGGCTATATGTATGTATTCNAGAAATGCAAAATTCGCGCGCAAATCGTAAAAAACACAAATTCCAAGATGGCGGACATTTCCCATATCGCAATTGGTGGAAAAATTTTATTTCGTGTTCGCATAAACAGGAGACCCCAAACTGCGTCAAAAAATTTCTTCCCGGAATTTCTTCGTTGAAAAAATCTAAAGTGATTGGGCTATATGTATGTATTCCAATAAGTGGTCGAAAATATTTCAAAAGAATAACACTTAAATCTTTAGACCAGCGATAGGCAGAGAGAGCTTTTACTCTGCGCGCGCCCTTACAAAATGTATAGAAAGCTTAAAAGAGCTTTGCCCGCGGGCAAGGCAGTGCCCATCATCGCTTTAGAGTCACACATAGAGAAAGTGAATGTCGTAGCTTTTTGAACGAGAACTTACGTAGAATTCTACTCATGTGGCTGCCGGCGTATAACGGGAAATTGGTGTTAATTGCAAATCTGACGAATTGACAAGGGAAGATATGACCACCCAGAACCTTTCAGAAGAGAACATGGTAGGTATAGCAATAGCTCATTTTTAACAGTTTGTTGTAGATCACCCCGTTCTAGTAGCCAATGAACGCTGGAGCAACATTTTGTACTGCGAAACTTCAGGATTACCTGGTCTTTCTATAGCAGGAAATGCTAATCGTTGCTATTAAGTTTAAACAGAAAAGAAATGTCCTTCCCTATGAATACTTTTACGGGCCAATTCCTAATGAGGACCCTGTATTGACCTATGCGAGGAGAGGATCTACTCTACTGACCAAACAAGTGGGACCGAATCGAAAAATTTGTCAAATTGAAAAACAAAGCAAATTGATAAAGGCATTCGATATCGAACGTAACTCAGATAGAAATTTGAATTTTAGATCATGGCATGCGATAGCGAGTGTGCTTCACTCATTTAAATTGTATTTTGGGGGAAACAGTTGCCATCACTCGATCACGAATGCCGCGATTCGAGCCTAGATTCACTCGTACTCGTTGCTGCCATCGGTTACCGATAATTTCATCGTCCTATATAGCTACTGAAATATTTATAAAATTTGTTGTCGATTTTTATCGATATTTTCGATGTCGTTTTCGGCGGAAATTATATGTATAGGAATGAACTATATGTATGAATTTTTTTCAGTCTAAAATTTTGGGGAATTTCAATTAATATATTAAATTAAATTATGTATACAACAAAATTATTATTTTTTTAAATTATTTTTAAAATTATCGATAATTTTAAATACAGACGCAGTGAATTATTCAAAGCTAAGAAAATAAAATTTAGAAATGCAAGCATTTTTGAAACAAAACCCCTATTACTCGTATTGTTATTTATCCAAAAAGTAATTAAAATTTCTAGTTCTTCTACATACAAAAAAAAAGATTTCGAAATGATAAAAGCGTGATAATATCTATTTTTGCTACTTGAAGTAAACATATTACACACTTACCCAACTGCTGCATCATAAGACTCAGATCTAACCAGAGATATCGATAATCTGCCAACTTTTCAGCGGGTTTTGCGCTCTTCAGCGTCAATTCCAAGTGTTTAGCAAGATCTTCACTGACAGTGCCAAATGCATTGCAGTTTATATACCTGAAAAAAAAACTTGTATAAAAAAATATTTTAATCTATAAAATTTATAAAAACTAAAGATTTTGCCGAAAAATCGGAGGCATGAATCAAAAACCAGCTGAATTCTTAAAAGTTCTTAAAACCCTCTCGGTAATTCCTCTAACCAACTCGCAAACAGAAAACGTTCTCCCAAAACTTACCATAAGCTGCAAAAGCAGTTTAGCATCGCAATAATCGGATAGTAGGCGAAGGTATACCAAAACTCAAAATCCGGCTGCAACACATATTGCGACAAATTGACGGCAATGCTCAGCGCCCACGAGAATATACACAGTCCCCAAGTGAGCCAATACAAGTTGGGAAAGACAATCGGTGAGCCAGTGACACGCCAGAACTTGTACTGATAATTTGTCCACATATTCTTGAAAATAGCCACCTGCGGTCCATGGCGCCAACTCGCCACCGGCAGCAGAAAATGCGTAAACAACAAGCTGATGAAAATAATATTATAGATGGCCTCATCGAAGTGCTTATCAGGTTGTTCGATGAAATTTTTGACGCGCGCACGCAACACCATCACCACAATGAATGTCTCAACCGAGTAAATGCATATGGCGTACAACACTTGACGCGAGGCCCACGAGTAGCCGGTGCGTGGCAAATTACTGACTGGCGGATTGCGATGGATGGGCATAATACCCATTATTTGAAAGAGTACGAGTAAACTTTTCGTTGTCTTATAGAAGGAATCGTGTTCATCCAGCAGGCGTGCATCATCCATAGTCGATCGCTTGCGTATATAGAAATCGGTGGATTTGCTGCCCACCTGTGCACGCTTCTGCAGTTGGACGCGATGGCGATGCTCATCTTCGAGAAATTCACGCTGCGCGGGATTGAAGAGTGGCACGATGCGTGGTGGTTTTTCCACAATTGTCGAACCGTCGTTATTCTTCACCCAGTAACTCATAGCGAATGAGGTGATAATGAAAATGCTTTCGGCTCGCAAATGCAATGGCAGTGTGAAGAATATCGATTATTGTGGTAAAGGGTTGATAAGCGGTCATTTGCTATGCAATGATGGCGTTTGGAGTTGGGCGGTTTGGAGTGGTTGCTCTAAATATTTATTTTTTTTTTTGTTTTATGCGAGTGTATAAACAAACATTTAATGCACGCGATGACTTCACAATTAAAAATAAAAAGCAGTGTCTAAAAAAGTATGTATGTATATCTGAAATTTTTTGAAGCACAATTTGTAATTGCCATATTCTGTCCTTGCTATCCTTCACTTGCTCCACTGCCCTCCTAATTTCGATATCCTCTTAGATACCAAATCAAACGCAATGTAAAATAGTAAAAGAACTCAATGGCACCCAAGACGCTAAAGCCGAGAAAAAGTCCAGCCGCGCCTCCAACAGCAACTACAAGAAATAAAGGCAAAACAATAATGGTTAAAATGTTCAAGGGTCACGCAATAGTAGCCTCAACTCACCCAATAGATCTGTGAAGGTAAATATTACTTGTCGCTTTAACAACTCCAATGGCCAAGAAGTCACTTCGAGGCCGACACTAAAACCTGTCTGAAATACATTGAGGTTTGCTAAAACCTGAAATCGATTAAAAGTTGGGCTAAAAAATTTATACTTTCAATGGTGAAAAATGTAAATTCAAATTAGGAAACGCATAAATATTTTGCATCGTGAAAATAAACGCCGTAGAAGTAACCGGAATTTATTAAAGATACTCGAGGATATGAAGTGGGTATATAAAATGATAACCGTTTCCGTTGTTCGGACTCAAAAACGACTGAATACATTGCAGTCAAGTTTTCGAAGGTTATACCTTGCTGATATGGTCATATTACAGGCAACTAGAAAACTCGCGGGGTGGCGCTGGTGTCGAATTATGAATAAAATCATATCAACCAATTTCTTTCAAATTCAAAAATCGACCTGCTAGGTTGCGCTGGAGTCGAGTTATTAATAAACTAAACTAAATAGTTAGAAACAACGTATATCTAGTCTGCTTTGGCCCTATATTTATATTATACGAATTTAATTTCGGATGACTAAATGAAGGATGAGGTCAAGTATACATACAACGATTGCAAAATTATAAAAGCACACCTTTGTCTCACGCTCTCACACATCCTAATTGCGATCTTGCATCTAGCTCCGCTTGACGGGATTGCTCGGGGCGGGGGGTTATTGCAGCAGTAAGCCTCAAGAAAAAGTGGCGAAAGAATACGGTCATTGGCGATGGAGTGGAATAAGGGCCGCCAGAAATAACGCCCATAGGCTTTATTTCCCGAAAAAACAGAAATAAAGCCCATTTGCGTTATTTCCATTTCGAAGGGGACATAGCGCCCGCCAACAAAAGGCAAGGTGAAGTCTGTTCTGCCTTTTCCAAGTTGGATAAGGAAGCCAAGTTAATGGGTCTGGTGGTAAACGAGGGCAAGGCGAAGTATCTCCTGTCATCAAACAAACAGTCAGCACATTCGCGCCTTGGCACCCACGTCACTGTTGACAGTTACAATTTCGAGAAAGTCGAGAATTTCGTTTACTTGGGAACCAGCATTAACACCGATAATAATGTAAGCATTGAAATCCATCGCAGAATCACTCTCGCCAACAAGTGCTACTTTGGACTGAGTAGGCAATTCAGGAGTAAAGTCCTCTCTCGACGTACGAAAACCACACTCTATAACTCAGTCATCATGCGCGTGCTGGTATATGGCGCAGAAGCATGGACAATGACAACATCCGATGAGGCGACTCTTGGAGTATTCGAGAGAAAGATTTTGCGGAAGATTTACTGGCCTTTATGCATTGGCGACGGCGAGTACCGCAGACGATGGAACGATGAGCTGTATGAACTTTACAACGACATGGACATAGTGCGGCGAATTAAAATACAGCGGCTCCGCTGGCTTGGTCATGTCGTTCGAATGGACACCGACGCTCCAGCTCTGACAGTATTCAACTCGGAACTCGCTGGTGGTAGCAGAGGAAGAAGAAGGCCCCCACTGAGATGGAAATACCAGGTGGAGAAGGACTTGGCTTCACGTGGCATTTCCAATTGGCGAAAGATGGCACAGAGAGGAAACGACTGGCGTGCTTTGTTGAACTCGGCCAAAATCGCTTAGGCGGTTATAGCGCCAAATAAGAAGAAGAAGAATAAAAGGCAATAAAGCCTTTAGGAAATGAAGCCCGCGGGCGTTATTGCCATCTCGAAAGGGAAATAATGCCCACCAGCAAAAGGCAGTAAAGCTTGCGGGCTTAATTTCTTTTTTAAAAAGGCAATAAAGCCCGCGGTCTAAATTTATTTCTTTTTTATGAAATAAAGCCCATGGGAGTTATTTAGGCGGGCCTTATTACACTCCACCGTCATGGGCTAGTACTAATTTTATATTAAAAGTGAAAAATTATAAGTTTAATTAGCTTTAAGCTTAAAAGTTTAGAACTTTCCAATAGCCTACCGAATACTCATGGCAATGTGAAGCAAATTGCTTGTAAGACTCGAAATGGTTGCTGTTATCGATGGCAAATATATACATATGTTTACTGTTAAACACACAGTCATTAATATAGGTTATGAATTTATCGAAATTATTATCGATATGCCTATATGTAGATATATTTATCCAAGTACCTATTTATATCTTTTCGATATCATAAAATAATATTATCGAAACACCTGATGATATATTTATCGATAAATTTATCGATTCGCTATCGATACCAATATCGATATATTTATATATATATATATTTATTTTTATACAGTCGGACATAATTGACGATAGTTTTATAAATTATCACTCCTGTTATGGATGCCGATATACTTTCCTAGTGTTTAAACCATCCCGATAATTTTCTACCTCCTACAGGAATCGCAATGTGGCATACCGAATGTTTTAGTCAATGATCCATTGCCCTGACTCTGAATTACGAAGAACAATCACTTTTCTATCCCTAAAAGCATATTCACATTATCGTAATTTACAGCTCATTTGTAATTTATAAGCAAATCACGCTGAAATGAAGTAATTTCGCCTTGTATAAATAATTTATCATAAATCAAGAACCAAATGAGGAAAAAAAAGATTTTGCATTTGTTTTAGCCTCCACTGTTAGGGAAATTTGAAAAAAATGCCTAAAGCTATGCAGCCGTTTGTTTTTTAAAATCAAGTATAAACCACACACTCGTACGTATGTACACGTGCTATAGAAATTATGAAAGAAAATGTGAACTTACTTGTTTTATGTGAAGTAATTTGATCGAAACAAAGTAATTTATGCTGTAATGTGAATCTAGTTTAAAAGATTGTTTTTTAAATTTGGTTCACTGTCGCAAAAAGAAAAAAAAAATGAATACAGGAACCAGTTGGTCGTTTCTGTAACTCTTCTCTACTGGTAGAGAATATACGACATTATCTACTATTCATCATCAGTAGAGAACAAGGCCTGAATTCACCTTGGTAGAGAATTGTTACATACATATATAGGGATGAAACGATACGAGAAAATACTTACAAGTATATACTCGATACTTTTCGCTCGATACCAAGTAATTTTGGTATCGGTACTTTTGAACCAAGTACTGAGTAAGTATCAAAACAAAAATACTCGTATAGAAATCCGATAGCAAGGTGAATTTTATTTCCGAATTATTTCCTCTCAAGGCATTTCCTCCACTAATATGAATCGCCCAGTTCTTTATTGCTGTTTGAACTCCAGCGACCTTCAAATATAGAAGATGTTAATTTCTCGTTGAAACCAGCATGCAATGAACTTTTTTAACAGATATTTTTGCTGTTCTTTCGTCAGGGAATCCATTTCCATGGTCGCAAAAACAAAAAAATCTATTTAATTTTTTTTTTTCTAAAGAATTAAAATCCACAAATTTTATTTGAAAGTCGGGCTTGAGGTTGAGGTAATTTTTCACCAGACCTTTAAAATGACTTTTCAAAAGAAAATTTTTAATTTTTTTTGTTTTTTTAACCTCAAAACAGCTTGTAATAAACAAATAATAAATAAATAAAACAATTTAAAATTAACTGATTTCTAGATTCTTGCCAAAAATAAAATGGATTCTTTGATGTACGAACAGCAAAAATACGGATTTCAAGTTTTTTAAAAACTTCATTGCATACTGGTTTCAGGCCAAAAAAAAGAACCATTTAAATCACCTATTTTTGAAAGTCATTTTAATTAATCTATCAAACGACACAATTTTGCCTGCATGGGGAATGCATCTCAAAAGGTTTAAAACCCCGTTACATTGATTTCGCTATCTCTTCTCGTTGGAGTTTTTCCCTTTTTTTCAAAAATAGAACACTGAGCGGCGTATGCACGGCCCAACGTACAGAATAACTCTATTATTCCTCGCCTTTACTTGGAAGTAGTATCATAAGAAAGTATCGATACCCGAAAAATATCGGATCTAAAGTATCGATACCTACTCGTATCACTCGTATTACATTTATTTTTTTAGTAATAAATTAATCATCCTCGGCGAATCTTAAACTCCGATTAATAAAAGTTAATAATTTAGGAATTGAAAATAAATAAAACAACATAACATAGCAAAACTATATGTTTAATGATGAATGGTATTTAACAGAGAAGATACCTTGGAAAAGTTAGCAAGAAGTTAATCTCGTTTAACCTTAGAACCATGAGTGAGGTACTCAGTCCCCATATACATTTTTGATGTTGAATATCGGGGGTTTGGGAAGTCCAATTTGATTCTTTTCGTAGGCAGAAGATTGTACCTTGGTTTATAAGTTGACAAAATTCTAGGTAAAATAATAATGATAATAGATTGGCGCTTACACATATGTTAGTGTTTGGCCGAGCTTCTCCTCAGATTTGTGGTGTGCGCCTTGATGTTGTCACACAAATAAGAGGGACCTACAGTTTTACACGGACTCCGAACGGCGATCGTATTTTTATGAGAAGCTGTTTTTCATGGCAGAAATACACTCGGAGGTTTGCCATTGTCTGCCGAGGGGTGACCGCTGTTAAGATAAAACCTTTTTCTAAATTTTT